AATCATATTTAGTCATCTTCAAGCCAAGTGCATGGGCTCAATCTCTTTCATTGGGGAAGCAAAAGACTTCCCACATGATTCACGTACGTCTTTTTACCTGTTTTGGGGGGCCAAAAGAAAAAATTCCCGAGTGCTTTTATTGATTGCTTGAGCATGAAAAGCATTGGACTAAGATCAATAAAAATTACTCCTGCTTCAATAATAGGAGAAGACCGTGACACGCACATCGCATAAACAAGTTATGAAGGAAACCACTTTTGCTTTAGGGAAAGTGATTTTTGCTTTCTCCTTTGTAGATTGAAAAGATGCCAAAGCCCATTTCTTTCGTCAAGAGAAAATGTCTTGGTCGTCTTAGTATAAATTTGTTGGAAGATTTTGCCATTTTAAAAGAGATTCTTGTTGTGGAAAATGGTTTTCTTTTTCGAAAAGGAGAAAAGAAAAAACAAGTGGGAATACAAGAGCGGGGTCATCAAAAGTTGGTCCACTCGTGATAATCGTTTCAATTTTGTGTTCGTGCTGGCTGATTAGAAACTATTAGACGGATATAACTCCGTTTTCAAGGGTTAAAAGCTATCGAATTCAATCTTTCTTTATCACTTGGTCCTGGCGTGCTTAACGGGATCCATGACAAAAGGTCATTCATCTTGATAACGCTCCAAATCTTTCTCATGAGAAAGACGAGGACAAAGTTATGGCCCCAACAATGGGAGAAGTCACACTCAGCTGCTGCTTTAATTGGTGTCGTCTACCTTTCAAGCGTTGATATTACTATCCTCAAGGAAACACCCTCAGAGATACTAGGATGTGACAGAGCTGTAATAAGACAATGCGTTCAATACAAGAAAATCTATCCCTTCTTTCACGTAAATAAGACAATGCGTTCAATACTTAGGGTCTCGGCCAATATCCTCCTTTCTCCATAGTTTTAGGTCCATGCAGATACGAGACGTGAAAATCATGTCGAGCTCGGTGTTTCAAATTCTCTTGCTTCCGGTTTCCCTCACGAAACAAGCATCCGGAGCTGCACCGGGACTTGCAAGGTGTAACCGTGTGGAAACATGCGGGAACATCGCCATTCTCTTCCTGTCCAGAATAGGCATTTTCGAAAACTGAAATCCTTCCCATCAAACTTGTTGATTTTCACATTTCCTTCTCCCGTCGCCATCAATCTACTTCAAGTCAGCCTAACCTATCTTTTCGATCGAAAAGTTTAATAGATAGAACAAGAAAATTAATTGGATACCATATTTAAGTGGTTTGGTCGGTGTCATCAACTCCACTAGAGAGTAACACAGGGTTCCAAGATAGATCTGTTGACACCTAAATTTTGCTTATTCATTTAGGGTTTAATTGCATGAAAAATTAGGAATTGATTTTTAACCCCTAAACAAAAATATTTTCTTTAAATTTCATGGCATATAGACGATCGGTGCATTTGCATTAATAGGGCCCATTAGAACATATTTTCCATATTTATTTTTAAAAATTAAATTAAAAAAATTAGTTAATTAATAAATTTAAAAAAAAAAAAGGCCAGCGTTGAATTAGTCAACGCTGGCCCACTTCACTTTCCTAGCCCTGTGCTGTGCGCTGACCTGGGGAAGGGGAGAACGCAGCGGACAGAAGCCAGAACAAAAAGCAGAGAGAGAGAAGACAAAAGGGAGCTCTTCCCCGTGACTCTCCCTCTGACACTTGCGAAAAAGAAGAAAAAGAGGGAAAGGACACGGAAGAAAGGAGTCTCACAGGAGACAAAAAGAGGACTCTGCCCTCTTCTTTTATGGGGATAAAGGCACGTCCAGAAGAAAGAGAACGCAGAAGCCAGAGGGGGGACCGAGCGAGAAACACAAAGCGAGAGACCGAGATGAGAAAGGGGGAGTAATCAGAGAAAAAAAAGGCTTGAAGAAAGAAGCGAGAAGGAAGAGTTCCAGAGGGAGAAGAGGAGAAACAGGGGGAATCATGGACTGAAGAGGAGACAACAGAAAGAGATCCAAGAGAGAGGGAGTTTGAGAAGAGAACGAGGTGGAAAAAGAGACATCTTGAGGGCGAAAAGAGAGACCGAGAGCCTCGCCCACTCGCCGGAGGGCCGTCCGAGTCGCCGCTGAGCCTCCAGCCGTCGTACCTCGCCCCGGCCAGCCGTGAACCAGGTGGGTCTTCTTCGTCTTGCCCTGTTTTGGTCCCCCTCCCCTGCCCCTCGGGTGCCGGGCACACCGAGTCTATTCGGTGGTCGCCCGGCACCACGAGATGCGGAAAATGTTTCTTTGTACCTCCAGGGTGTGTTATTGAACGATTTCCATAAAAGAAAACCTTCGAATCCCGCTGAAATCCACTTGGAAACCCTCAGTTTTAGGTGCATCCCACCTGTTCGACGAAATGCCCGAATGAAAACCGAAACCAAAGTCACCGCGTCTACCCGTAAAAATCTTAGATTCACGTTTGTTCGTCCTGAGGTTGATGTTTGGTGACCGATGCTGTGTTGTTTTGTTCTTTGTTGTGGCATCTTTGTCGTGTATCCGAGTGAGCCATCGAGGAAACCTTCGCCGGAGGCGCCATTCCCGTCGTTGGATCGACGCCCGCGGTTAGAGGCCGCCTTAGTCAGTCTCTCTCTCATTGCCCCATCTTTGTTGTGTGTGTGTGTGTCCATTGTATCGCTCGAAAGATTTTAGCCGATGAAAGATGTTCTAACCGGAAAATGAGTTTGAGTTTTGGGTCGCCGACGGGGAGGTGCGGTTCTTCTTTAAGTCGTCGACGTGGTCACCGCAGCGTCGTCCGGCGGTGACGGCGTAGGCCGGCGTCCGCAGTTGGTGCTGGTGGCCCGAGCCGACGGCCGGCGGTGGGTGATCACGGCGTGGTCGACTGAAGAAGAAGAAGACTCTGTGAAGAACAGTAAGAAGCAAAGGGCAGAAGCATTCTGGGCAGAAGGTACGAAGGAGGGGATGAAGAAGAAAAAAAAAATAATAGAAAAAGAAAAAGAAACAAAAAAAAAGAAAAAAGAAAAGGAAAAGAGGGGAAAATCAAAAGAAATCAGGAAAAGAAATAGAAAATTGGGTTCCCGGGCGGGTCGGTAATTCGGGTCAGGAAGTCGGGTGGATCGGGTCAGGAGACCCGGTCCGAAGATCTTATTTTATTAATAAATTTTTTTCAAAAAAAATTCAAAAAAAATTCTAAAAAATTAAAAAATTCAGAAAAATTCGGAAAAATTCCAAAGAAATCAGAAAATTAGAAAATGTTCAGAAATCAGTTTTGGGCCTAATTTCACTAGATTTTAGGTTAAAAAAATAAAAAATGAGAAAAAACCCTCTAAAAAATTCTAAAAAAAATCGGACAAGTCATTAGGGCTCTACGTTGGGGCTTTTGATTGCCTTTTCCTTTCTAGAGACGATGATAGGTCGCTGGTTGTTTATTTTGGTTGTGCACTTTAAATACATTGGTTGTTATTTTCCATTTTTAACATGGTTAGGACGAGCTTTAGGCTTTTCGATAGGCTGGCCGGTACGTTAGTTTGCGAACATTCAAGTTTAGGTACCAAAAGGGCACTAGTTAAATTGCTAGTGTAATCAAGTCCCCGAATTTTGGAATCTCTGGTTTTTGCATGTATCGAGACGACACTCCCGCGTCTCGATCAGGGTTTCTAGCCAACCCTTGATCATGGCCAGTGGCGACTCCAATCGTATGCTTAAATTAGACAATTCTCGTCGCGCGAGGTATGAGGCTTGGGAGTGCCTCGGTCATTGGATTAATGAACCATTTGGTTCACCATTCAAATGAACCAATCGTTGTTCATATCCATCGACAAATACCTCTTGTCTTAAACGCGACGATCGGTTCGGGTAGGTCGCGACAAGATCAAGGGTATAAAATAGAGATTACAATCACAATCGAGTTACAATGTTCTAAGTGTTTCCCAGCTCCAGTTATGCCAATAACTTAGAGTATTTAGCCCATTCAATTTTTCACAAAACAATCTTTATCAATCTTGCAAAAAAAAAAAAAACACATTCTTAGGAGAAGACTTTGTCACGATTCCAAAATGCTTGCAGTTTCTTTGAGAACGAATTCACAAGAGCGCCACACAATTGATTGTTACGGTCAAAAGCTCCCTGTGTGCTCACTAATGGGCAAAAATCAACATAATTCATCAATTAAGGCTCCGTTCGTTTGGCGGAAAATATTCTCCCGGAAAATATTTTCCGGGTTTTCCGGTGTTCGGGGGGCGGAAAACGTTTTCCGTGAGAAAATATTTTCCTTCCCCCTCACAAAAATAGCCTAAGTCTATGGAAAATGACTTCCGCTTCTTCAAAAGCGGAAATCATTTTCCGGAGCTTCTTCTTCTTCACTAAGGTCATCGGCCGCCCGCCGCCGCCGCCGGCGGCCGCCGGACGCCGCCGCCGGTCCGCCGGACGCCGCCGCCGCCGGCCGCCGGACGCTGCCACTGCCGGTCGCCGAGGACGCCGCCGCGCATGTCGCGCGCCGCCGCCGGACGCCGTCGCCGCCGAAAAATATTTTCCGAAACTTTTTCATATTGGTCGCTGAACACCGGAAAATTATGTTCCGGGAAAATATTTTTCAGGAAAATGACTTCCGGGAAAATATTTTTCAAAAGGAGAATATTTTCCGCCAAACGAACGGAGCTTAAGTTCTAAAACTTACCAAATTAGTGCAATGAATTCTCTCTCTATTAACTCTTCCAATTTAGCTACTAAAACATTCTGATGTGGCATTTTATTATTACGGCCAAAAGCTCCCCCCGTGTGGCGTTCACCAAGCACTACACATCAAAAAAAGAACTTGAAAATTTAGTAAGAAAGAAAATGCTAACGTGACCTTTTTTTTTAATTATATTTACTAATGTGTTGCTATAGTATGTACAGTTACTTGTTCGGTATGAAACCAGTATATTGCTTCGGTTTCACTGTCCTGTCATGGTCAGCTACAGAATAATACGGTGGGACACACAACGAGGACACGCACAGATATTTCCGAAATTCCCCCATTTCTCGGCACCTTACAAGCCCTGTCCTAATGTGACTCCAGAACAAAGAACGACTCTTCAAAGTCCTTTAATCTGAAAATGAGACTGATAGCCTTTCTCAAAGGAGACATTTCAACGGGGAACAAAAGAAAATATCTCCGAGTCTCATCATTTTATTATCTTGTGTTTATCTGATGAGTTTCTTTATCAAATTCAGCTGTGAGATTGAAAAATGACATTCGCCATTGCCATCAAAGCAAACCCGATCGAGACATCATTCTCACTTGGCCGCCAAAATAGATGACAACTTCAGTGGAGAATTTTCTACTCCAGGAAGGATCTGAAGCTTTGACAATTCTGCTCAAAGAAGTATCCTCGGATATGCTAGGGTCCTCGACTACAGGCAAAAGCGGCGTATAAGTAACTGTGCCCTCCGTTCATTCCTGGAACAGGTCCACGATTTCCGGACAAAAGAAGCAGGAGCAAGAATGTTTCAGATTCTTCTGCTTCTAGTATCACTTTTGCTTCAGAAGCAAGCATCACTAGCAGCTCCCCTGGTGAAGGGTAATTGCCCCCAAACATGTGGTGGCGTTGCCATTCCCTTCCCCTTTGGGATTGGAACCGGGTGTTTCCTCGATGAGTGGTACGAGATTGTCTGCCAGGACAGCAGTGACGGCACCATCCTCATACTGAACAAGACCAACTTGAGGGTGTTCAACATTTCGCTACCCGATGACCAAGGTGGAACGAACGGCATGATCAGCGTCAGTCTTCCTATAATCTTCTCGTCGAATGTGAGCTGTGGGGGCAATAGAAGCTTTGCGCCTGTGAGCTTGAAAGGAAGCCAGTTCATCTTCTCTGAGTCAAGGAACGTCTTCGCGGCCGTTGGTTGCAACATATGCGCTCTATTAGATGACACAAAGTCTGCTATCATAGGGTGCCAGTCCAAATGCAAAAAACAACACAACATCTTTAGTAAAATGAATTGTTCAGGCCGCGACGGATGCTGCCACACCACAATTACCTCGGATCTTCAGGCTTTCAGCGTCACTTTCCGGCCGGACAAGCAAGCAGCAGAGAATAAATGCGAGTATGCCTTCTTGGGAGATATGTCGCAGTTCACACCTTCAACTACAGACTTCACTGAGTTGGAGTCAAGGGGGCATTTCCCAGCGGTGCTAGAATGGGGGATAGCTAATTCCTCCCAAGCTGCGCCAGAAATTTACAAATATGGCTTCATCGCCGACGATTCCTATAACTGCAGCACAGTCAGCTTCAATTTAGGATATCGCAAGGTGATGCCATTTTTGCAGTGTTCGTGCCGCTTGGGCTTCACCGGTAACCCCTATATTAAACATGGGTGCAAAGGTAAAACCACTTATATTTCATCACACCAATCATTGGAAACGCAAAATCGAAAAACTGTACTAATAAATAGAAGTAGCTCTTTGGAGGCTCAAGTAGCTTTACATGCAAATCGTAAACGTCCAATAAAGAGACGAAGCTCTACTAATTTTGATTGTCATCCTTTGTTCAGATGTCGATGAATGCGAAGATCCCAATCGGTGCCATGGAAAAAAGTGTGTGAATCGACGTGGTTCCTATGATTGTGTTGAAGGAAGCAAGACAATCAAGTTTATCCTCGTAGGTAAGCAAATTTCTTCATTCTGTCATGAGTTATGAACAAGGACTAGCCATCTTTTTTGCACCCAGATTCGCGAATATCACATCCTGTCATCTACATAAATGCCAGATTGAGTCTATAATTGATAAAACCCTCAATTTAGAAAATGTTATACAGCATCATGCGTTTTCAGTGGATTGGGTGTTCGTTGTTCGTACGTAGCTCTTCGGAATTCAAGTTTGATGTTTGATTTGGGCACATATTTTTTCCTACAATTGTAGCCTATATAGTTTATAGTCTTTAAATTGATTGTCTCAACAACAATTACAGTACGTCAAACCTAACACCAGGTTTTTTTTCCTTTTTGCCCTTAATACATAATCTCGATCGACCAATACCTCTGTTTTGTTTTTTTGGCTGCTGTTCGACTGATTAGATGGCTGTTCTATTACATGCTAAATTGCACATGAGACTTTAATACATGAGTGAGAGAGATGACTTTTCTAAGTCAAAGGGGTCTATTTTTTTTTGGTAAGGAAGTCAAAGGGGTCTATTGGGTGGTCACCAAACCAAGAAGCTAAACTTACATGAGCACTGCGACATGAGTAGTCAATCGACAATGAAGTTCAATACGACAATTCACCAAACCTCGGAGATTTTAGGCTGCATATACTCAAACTTCTGGGGACCTTCTCAAGTTCTGTCCTAGGGTGGTGCCAGGTATGTGCTATTTTTTGTTGATGACGTTTCGAGGAAAGCGTAGATTTGTCATCACAAGAACAAGGAGCTTAGTTGGTTCAAATCATGGAAGGAGATGATCGAAAAGCAAATAGGATGGAAGATCATGTGCCTGAGAACAGATAAAGGGGTGGAATTTTGTTCGGATGAGCTTGGCCAATTTTGTGTAGAAAAAGGCATAGTGGAATTCCAATACACCATGACTAAATGGTGTCACAAAACTGATGAACAAAATTACATTGGAGAGAGCTCTCAAACTTTACTCTCCAATGCTGGATTGAGTGAAGTTTTGTGGGCCGATGCAATGAATATCAATGTTGGTTAATGAATAAATCACCATCACCAACAAATAATTGGAAAACTCCTGACGAAACATGGTTGGTAAGTCGGTTGTTTATATCGAGCGGAAAGTATTCGGTTGCCCTGCTTATGCTCATGTGAGTGATGGCGCTATAGCCAGGGGAAAGGAGGTGTATTTCTAGGCTATGCACATGGGGTAAAGGAATATAGGTTGTGGCACATTGAGAAAGATTCACTTAGGTTTATGTTCAATACAGATGTTACCTTTGACAAATATGCTCTATTTTAGAATAGGAGTGAGAGATCGATTGTAGAAAAAGATATGGACAACGTTAATAGGTAGAGCTTTAGGGAGAGCTTAAAGATATTCAAAATGTAGTAGATGTGACAATGTCTATAGAGTCGCTAGATTCCATAGCAGCCGACAATTTGTTTCAAGGTCATAATTAACTAAGTTTTGAGGTGGTCAATGGAATTGGATGAGATTGAGTAACAGTTGTATGGAACTATTGAAATTGATAATTTGGGTGCAGTGTAGATAGTTGGGTATGGAGATGCTAAGAGTGAAGATTGCTAAAATGGTAACGAGTGACTCAGAGGACTTAATCAGGAAAGCGCCGAGACACTTTAATATGCAGTTGATAAACTCTATAAGTGCCCCCACTTGTTGCACATCATAAATTGTCAATATTGTTAGTTTGTACTTGGATGGAGGTGGAGCATCTGTTCTATGCTTCACATGCTAGTACTCTTGGTTGTCTGAGTAATGTCGTAGGTAGTACTTTGATTGATCTTTAACATGTCGAATGAAGAATATATACGGTTAATCCAGGTATACATTATGATGCTTTGAAGTGGTTCTCCTGGGTTTGTTAGGGACAACATACGTTGGGGTGTGTTTTGGAAAATGCAATTAGGCTCATTAGACATCTGTGGGACGTTGGAAGAGCTAGCCTAGATGATGAGCACTATTACTTAGCTGCAAACATCGACCAATGTGGAGATTATTAAGAGTACATCTTGAGTTTGAGCCTATAAAGGAAACTCGATCCAAGTAGATTTCTAGGCTTGAGTAGTATTCCTAGTTTGAGTGATTTCATAATTTGAGTAGGCTTCTTATTTGAATGTGTGTGTATGAAATTCTATTCGGTAATTACACACTAGAGCAAACAACGGGATGTGAGGGTTTTCTCTATGAGTTTTATGAGTGAGTTCTCTGTGAGATATTGTGATATAATACTTTTAAGTTATAGGACTGAGAAGCACTTGAGCTATTATAAACTCTATATTATCTAGATTTATAGTGGATTTCATAGCGTTGGACTCTCCTAATGTAGTAGCTGCCTACACTCGGACCGAATTACATAAATATCTGATGTCCTTATCTAGTTGATTATTTTGGTAATTTCTTCTACATGCGTTAGCCTTGAATTGCATAATTCGTTAGCTTCCGTGTTATTTCACAACACAAATCCTCATGCTTGCTTTTGGTAATGCTCATGCCACTTTAATAAACCAGGTATCGGAGCAGGCCTAGGGGCACTATTCTTGCTTCTCTTGTTATGGCTGTTGTACAATTTCATGAAGAAAAGGAAAGAAATCAAGCTCAAAGAGAGGCACTTCAAAGAGAATGGGGGTCTCTTGTTGCAGCAACAACTGTGTTCATTCGAGACCAATGTTGACAAGAACAAATTATTCAATTTTAAGGATTTGGAGAGGGCCACGGACAATTTCAACAAGAACAGAATACTCGGTCAAGGTGCGCAAGGAACCATCTACAAGGGCATGCTTGCGGATGGAGGAATCGTTGCCATTAAGAAGTCAAAGGCAATCGACAAGAGAAAAGTTGAACAGTTCATTAACGAGATTGCCATTCTCTCGCAGATCAACCATAGGAACGTGGTTAAGCTACTTGGGTGTTGCTTGGAAACAGAGTCGCCGCTTTTGGTGTACGAATTCATACCGAATGGGACTCTCTTCCAATATTTACGTGACTCTCTCGTATCGTGGGACACACGCCTTCGAATTGCTACTGAAGTGGCGGGAGCCTTGTCCTATCTACATTCATCGGCATCAATCCCAATCTATCATCGGGACATCAAGTCTATTAATATTCTCCTGGATGACAAGTACCGAGCAAAAGTGGCTGACTTTGGCACTTCCAAATCGCTTTCGCTCTATCAAACTCACGTGACTACAGCAGTCCAAGGGACATTCGGGTACTTAGATCCCGAGTATTTTCAATCGTGTCAGTTCACAGATAAAAGCGATGTGTACAGCTTCGGTGTGGTCCTCGTTGAACTACTGACCGGGCGAAAGCCAGTCTCACTTCTTGGAGACGAGGATCAGAGAAACCTTGCAAGCTATTTCCTCCTATCGATGGACGACAACTGCCTGTTCGACATAGTGGACGATCAAGTTCTGAAGGAAGGCAAGAAAGAAGGGATCGTTGCCTTTGCGAACCTCGCAAGAAGGTGCCTGAACTTACATGGGAAGATGCGACCTACAATGAAAGAAGTGGCAAGTGAGCTGGAGCGCATTAGAAAGCTGGAGAATCCTGCCATGAAACATGACCATACTCCAAAGAAGAGGGAGACGAGCATAAGTTGGGATTCTGCAGGGTCCGCAGACATAATCACGATGTCGGATGTGCAGCCACTCATGTATAGCGACTCGATGTAAAGTAGTTCTATCTAAATTTTCTTAGATGGGTGATTACTTTAAGAAGTTCCGTACGTCGCACTCTTTCTTGACGGGACACGTGACATCGTGAAAATTGATCCATTTGGGATTTATAAAATACTGAGTTTTATGAATGTACTCGTAGTAAATTCTCACCCAGAACTGATCATTCCTGGGATACTAACCATTGGAGAAAGGCTAATAAGGGATTTAAATTCGTAGGACTAAGAAAAAATTCGACCGTGAATTGATTTTCGACCATAAAATCGCCGAGGTGACATTTTGAGCCACTTCTGGCCGATCCAAGGATAACTAGGGGTTGTCGCGACCTACCCCTCGAGGGCCGAACTCGATGGGGCGGGTTTAGAGGTAAGCGTTCATGAAACGGGCTATACGGTACATCATAAAAGATGGTTTATCCGTACAGTCCATTATTCATGCACGTGAATCTTCCCTAATTCATACCTCGCGCGACAGAGGATCAATTTTATCTTTTAAGGAGTCGCCACTAGCCTAAGTCGGAGGTCGGCTAGAATACCTAACCAATATGTGGGAATTTCGTATTGGTTTCTACGAAAACCATAGATCAAAGGTTCGGGGACTAGCTTACGTTAATATTTCTATTAACGCCCTTTCGGTACCGCTAAACTTAACATGGTTGTTATCTAAGTTGTCATGCATTTGTTCTTTACCATTTTCATGCCAAAGTTTTGGTCCATAATGTGATCATGCATATTGTTTTTGTTGTTTTCATTTAAGATTCTAAACTAATCCTATCTTAGTCTAGAAAAGAAAGAAAGAAACGATTGTATTGAAAGGCATTACGTAAAGTAAACACTCAAAGTATTGAAAAGACGAGCTAATTCTAAGTGCGAGAAAGTAAAAAACCCGCAACTCGCCGGGTGTTTATTACAACACGAATTGAAAACCCGAGACATGATCGGGAACGAATGAATTGAATACAAATTGAAACCGGATCAGACATCGGTCTATCGCCATCATTAAATGAATACAAATTGAGACTGGATTGGACATCGGTCAATCGTCTTGGTCTTTCACCATTTTGGATTATCTTCCCATGGACCGTCTCTCGGGTGTCGGCGTTTACATTCACAACATACATTCACGACAAACAATGTCCAAAAGAATAACCAAAGAAAAACAATGGTGCAAACAATTCACTAATCAAGCACGGACCTCGGGATTGGCCTTTGTTTTTCATGCATTTCGATTCACCACCTATCTAATCATCTAATATTATTTGATCAATGGTTAATGATAACGGGCTACCATTTGCATTCACAAAACGGCAACTCATATCAATTAACCCCTAAAGTCGGGTTCTAAGTGACCACAATGGACTACCCGCTGAACATGCACCGGGCCTAACATTCATCTAACAAACACATGCATAGCAATGAAATAAGCATGCATTCAGGCCCATGGGCCTTATTTCGAAGCCAATCAAACAATGAGAAGTGGGCTTCATAAGGAGACCACTTATTCAGTTATTATCTAATTCGGATTGCTTCTGTTCAGATGTGATTAACTACCCTAATGACGTCCAAATGAAATGATTCAGGTGTGATTAGAAAGCTTATGACATGAGGATCGAAAGTCAAGAAGACCATTTTTTCTAAATCCTAGTCGATTTTCACGAAAATATCAAATTTGATCTCAGTGACAGGCTGGACTCGGTTCTGTTAGGGATTTCAAAATAATGGTGGGAAAAATAACAAACCTTATCAAAACCGCGTGAAAATTTTTAGGCAGTTAGGATTCTTCGTGTGCAACAACTTTCATGTTTTGAGTTTTTGCTAAAAAGGACTCTAACTTCATCAAATTCGGAGAAACATCTTTTGAACTCCAAAGGAATGAAAATCAGATCTGGACACAGATACTGATCAGATTGTGAAAATTTCTTTTGAAAATTAAAATGACCTTCGATTTTGATGAAATCAGTATCAATAGAAAGATCTCGATCTCAGCGTGAACTTTCGTGAAGAAAACTTTTTCATATTTCGAACACACGAATTTATGAAAATCGAAGAACACACGAAGGTCAGTCTGAAACTAATCTGTCACCAGATTCATGCACACATTACGTTGCACATCGTACAAGGCAAACATGCTTGGAATTTTATGATGAACAGATCAAGATGTGTTCTACAACTTTCATGAGGAACGTTTTTTCAAAAAATGATCGTAGAAAATCATAAAAAATCATCAAGCAGCACAACGTCAGTCAGGAGAATATCAGAACAGACTTGAACATTATGATTCTGATTCTGATCCTAACTTCTAACAGTGTTTTGACATAGCAAATCAAGTCCGATCGAGGCATGCAATATGTCAAATCGAAGCTTGAGACGTGTTTTACGAATCTCTAGTTTGTCACTTTGCCAGATTTCGACATTAACGAGCTCAAATCAGCATCTCAAACATGCAGGTCTTCCTGGATACGAATTCACAGAACCACATTCAAGTGAACTTACCTTGTTTAACGATGCCCCGACGCACATTCGAGCGATCCGGCCTCCGTATTCAGATCAAGAACAGCACGGAGAAGTCTCGGAAAGCTCGGCCAACCTATGATAATAGATTGCACAAACTATAGTGAGAATCAATTCGTTTTCGCACTAGTGAACTAATAACAGAGAATCAAATCAAAAGGCACGATCCGGTGGCTGTTCAACGAGAAACCGGCCACCACAGCCACATGAAGACGCCGAGGAACACTGCTGGAGGTTCTGGATCGCCTGAAGGAACGCCGGTTGGCCGGTTCAGCCGCTTGAACCGGTGGATCAAATCACCGGCAGCAACACCGGTGATGCTGCCGTGAAGGAAAACTCGCCGGAATGAGAAGCTCCGCCACCAGCCAGGCCGGGCCGGTGCCGCGATCGACCTCGTGACACCGTGGGAGACGACGGTGAGGCGGTGATCCGCCGGAAAATGACCGGCAATGAGGAGGGATGGCCGGTGACCGGGAGAGAACGAGAGAGAGAGAGAGAGAGAGAGAGAGAGAGAGAGAGAGAGAGAGAGAGAGAGAGAGAGAGAGAGAGAGAGAGAGAGAGAGAGAGAGAGAGATGCGTGAGCTTTGAGAAAGAGAGAGAGAACGTGAGTTTAGAGAGAGAGAGGAGAGAGAATCCAGATCTGAAAATGAGTGTCCCCCCCAATTTTGGAGGGAAAAAACAACTATATCCTCCCCTCAACTTTGAATCTTAGCCCTTAGATTAATCAAATGGCCTAAAATGCATCCTTAATGATTAAGAATATTCTTTAAAGGCTAAGGATTGGTGACATGGCATCATGGATGGACATGATCAATTCTAAATAAATGGCCATGATTGATTTGCTTATCCCCTAATTAATTTGTTTAATTCTTCAAGAAGGGCATTTTAGTAATTTCTCTTAGGGGCGTTTTCGTAATTTTCAATTGAGGGCATTTGTGTCATTTTTAGGCTCAAAAGGATGTGGCTGGCCTAGATTAGTCAGGATAGATCGTTGATCGTCGGATTTTCGACCGGAAAATGGGCAGTCCGATCAGACCGGTTCAATTTGAATTAAACCGGGTTGAGCAAGTTAGCCCCGAATTTGGCCTGATTGAACTAGTTCAATCCTTGATTCCATTTGTTCCATTTTGGTACAATTTGATCTCTATCATGATTAATTGACCCCATCAATATCAAATTCAATCAAATTGGATTGAACCGATGCACAAATTGATTCAATTTAACTTGTTTGTCTCAATTGCTCTTGAATTTGGGTAATTGCATGGCCAAGCTAGACTAACAAATTTAATTGAAGTCCAATTAACCAAATTGAGTCTCAATTCATCAAATTGAATATTAGTCTAGAGTGGGTCAAGTTGAATTGCACTAATTGGACCAATTACTCTTAGACTTCTTAATCATTGGATCACTAAATTGATCAAATTGACTCAAATTCATGTGAATCTTCCAAAATTGATTTTGGATTTGGACTTCATATAAGAAATTAGGCTCATTCGTGCCTCAATTGTGCAAATCATGAAGAATCGATCCAAATCACTGATTATGGCCAAAATTGGGGGTTTTTGTGTTTGGCTTGGAATTACAAAATTGGTTCCAAAATTGAATATAAGATGACCTCTAGATCAAATGTCATGAAGGAAATTAACCTAAAAAATGACTAGAAATGAAGTAATTTCATTTTTGGCCGATTTGAATCAAATTCCGCAAATTGGGAAAAAGTTGATTCTAAATCGATTTTTGTAAAATTTCAAATGCCAAAGGTAAATTGAATGTAAAATAAGATGATTTTTGAATTTTTGTATTTTTCAATTTTTTTAGTCAAAAGTTTGACCAAAAGTCAAATCATAGTTGACTTTTCACTAGGAGCTTGATTTTATGATCAAATCTCTGAATTTTTCTGAAATTTCCACTTCTAAAGTAAAATTGGACTTGAAAGGAATCTTTTTATGCGAAAAGCCCCAATTTGACCCAGGGTTGACTTTTGGTCAAAGGGTTGACCAAAAAGTCAACTCGAAAGTCAAATGTTTGACTTTCGGGTTTTTGCATGAAATGAATAGAAAATCGTTTACAGAGGCTAAGCCAACAGACAGAATTAAAAAACGACACTTTTTGTTCAAGAAACGGGCTCCGTCGCGATCGGAAATCATAATCTCGAATTTTCTATTTTTAATGACGCATCGGCTAAAAATTAGGTGTCAACAGGGGTCAGTTCGCCACTATCATAGTAGTGGATCGCGGGTGATTCCACTAGACCACGAAATGAGTTGGCGAGCGATCCTGAACTTATACCAGACGATCGTGCCCCTCGGATCTAGTGATCGATCCTCGCGATTTTAATGACAACCGAAGTCGTCACGAACCGAATGAACTTGCACGTGACTTGAATTATTATCAATCACGGGTCGAATATGCAAATTTCCCCAACAAGCCGCCCGTTAGTGTGAGAAACGCTCGAGTTGCGTTTAATAAAATTTAATTATTTAATTGAGCCCAAGTTGGACACCGGAAAATTTGGAAGTCACAACGGGACGTTAGTACGA